CATTTTGCAGTTTTAATTTCCATTTTCGTAAACAGCATTCAAAACTCTATCGATTTATCTGGGTCTACATTCAAAGTTCCAAGATAAGTAGACTACCCCTCCCTGGTTAGATGGGCCTACTGCAGAACGCTGTTGGACAAAGGGCGATCTTGCAAATGTTATAGTTATGTGATCATCATAGATCCCTTCAAAACAGAAACTCTTGAACCTAAGCAGCGTATGGTTTGTAAAGTTCTTAGAAAACGAACAACTTGGCTCACCCTAGCTGTTCATAAAACTCTGCAACTTTCCTGACTGATTCAGGAACACTGCTCCCATTAACATAGACGACAAAATGGTCGACGCCAAGAAGTCGATTGAGCTCCATGAACTGGAAAATTGGAGTTTTTTCATTCCTTATAATGTGTTGCTGTACGGGTGAGTTCTCGTTTCCTAAAAATGGTAGGGTTGGTTTGTATCGAATGAGGTTTACGGCGTGATACCAAGAAACTGGAGATGCTGAAGTCCGCTGATGGCAAAAAAACATAAATTAATCCGACGTCTGCGAAAACGCCCAAAATGAGACACTTATATCTGAAAGCAGTTATGGGAAATAGTTTTTATTTTCACTTAACTTCTCGTAAAAGGTAGAGGTGGTGTAGTGGCAAGTGGCACACTTCACACGCGCACGGTCACCGCAAGTTATTGTATGGTCCCTTTTCAGCACGATAATGTGTCCCACCTCAATGAAATGCTCTGCGGAATATTTACGTCCGAAGAGAAACGGTAGACAGATTGTTAGCTCGTATTTGTACTCTTTTATGTCGCTTTCACGAGGTATATCGTATATAATTGGAACAGATCTCCACAAAGCCGTTTTAGTTGCGATCTGAAATGAAGGCGGTACCGTCACTTTCCATAATACTGCTAAGAAAGAGATATACGTCTCAAACCTTCACTTCGATTCGGTCAGCAAGGCTTTCGTTCGCTGGTAACGGACAGTTAAGGAAGTAAACACCGTAGATCATTGCATGGTTTTCCGACATTTCATACAGTTTGCCACCATCGATGACGGTGCCATTTGGAAAGCGACACATGAGGTTACGATGAGGACGAGCGACGAGTAGCACTCGAATATGCTGCCGACCCATGTTTCCTTCGCGTGCATCGTACGCCGCTCCTAACGCAAAAACAGAGGAGCTGACCGCCACGAAAGACTTCGGCGAAACATCGTCTGCACTGAATTTCGTCACTGTGTAGGTGTCGTCACTGAAAAAAATGGTAAGGCGTCTCTCAGTAACATAACTCTTAGCTGTGACCGATTCAAAAGCACAGTTCACGATAAAAATGGCTTATGAGATATCCTGTTAGTATAAATTTGTTGCCCCTCGAATACCATATGTGGTGCTGTCAGGATGGAAAACGGCCTTGATAGGGCTTTATAACTGCTTCCTTGTGGAAACGCGGATGAGTTTCAGTGACATTGTAGAGGCTGCACCCTTCCCTAAAAGGCTCGTGAAGGATGTTCAAACTTCTTGTCTTGACCCCTAGCGACAATAAAAGGCAATTCTGGACAGCTTTGGCTTGATTTAGTCAGCTCTTTGCGCAACCGAAACCTAATTCAGATCCCTTTCAAGTCATTATGTCATGGTGATCTCGTACAAAGCGGTATTTTCACTGCCCTAAAGGAGCCTTATTTTTCGCAGAATACGCGATATTTTTCGGTTTTCTCGCCACTGATGCCGTACCCTCAACCAAACGTTTCGACTTAAGGGTACCTCATAGTTACCGTGAACTGTGCCTTTGATTAAACTTTTCTGAAAATAGGATGGAAACGTTGCGTAACTGTTTCTATTGTAAACTTATGAAAATTACAATATACCCATCAGGAAAATTGTAAAAAGTAAAGATCTTGGGTGATAAATGGATACATGAATAAAAAATGGAATGGGTTTTTTCAGTCTTCGTGGCCTGTGAAGTAAATATGATTTCTATATAGTTGCAAACGCAATGTCAAAGGCGCAGTTCACAATAATTCCCTGTTGCTGGCTCGCGGGGCTTTCCCGCCCCTCGATCGATATCACGACAGACGGGTGTCGAGACGATACAGATTGCAAATTTCCGCTCTAGTACCCACACACAAACAGCTGATGGCCGAGTAATAAGGCGATGATTCCCTCCTAATCCTTTTTACTTCACTTCCCAAAGACGCTGAAAAAGTTGTGCTATTTCTGCTGTTACTAGAATTTTTTGTTAACTTTGCCTATGAGTGAATGAACTTTTGCCTACCGTAGTCGGCTATTCGCGCCAGGACCCGCACGTACGCACTGACGCACCTTGTATAGCACGTCCAAACGTACCATTCTTCTTCATTTTTCTGGTCTTGCTCTCGTCCAGCCCTTTTTTAACCATTTTTCTTTTTGGAAACACCGATTCACGCAGTTTTTTCGCCTTCACCGCATTATTTTCCATCTTGTCTTCACTGTTCTTCATAATCTGGATTACCCAAAATTATCGTGACCTGTGCCTTCAGATGACTCGTGAAATGTTCGTGGAGTGGGGATCAGGATCTTCTTTCCAATGATTGTCCACCACTGTTTAACAACGTATAATGGAGAACCAAATACTTCTGTTGGTTTAGATAGTCTCAGCTATTGAGTGGTTAATCTAATCAAGACCAAGTGGCATGACTTTGTGGCTTTATCAATTTGTTTGTCAACAAAGATTGGAGCATTACACTTTTTCACAAATCCAAAAGGCACACATTCAGTATACCCGCAGTCTGAAGGGACACATGGAGGTGCAGATAGTGCATACCATTAGAAGTGCGTCATAGGAATGCAGCAATCAACAAAACAAAGGCATGCATAATGGGTACTAACTGCGGTATCAATCTGGTATGAGGTCATGGTTATGACTACCCTTATAGGGTTGCTGGTTCCACGATCCCGAGGACATTCCATTAAGTGTTGGAGGATAAGGACGTATTGCATAAGATATTACAATCTGAGATCGGAGATTTTAAACCGAGCGGACGATACCCCACTGTACTGGTGAGGAGATACTGGTGGGTTGCTGTGTGAAGTAGCGGCTTATTATAAGTAGAAGTAGGATAGAGTGGACAACGCAAGATGTTTTAGGAGCTGGAATGCATTGAAAGAATGCTTCAAGAAGAGGACTCCCTTCCTCTTCTTTAACAATGCCATTGCTTTATTATTGTGATTTCACTTATGGAATTCACGCTTTTGATCTTCCACAGCGATTAAATTTAGACTTTCTCTGAGTAACCTGGATCTACACTGAGCAAACAGATGGCTGAAGGAAAAAAGCTTCTGACCTAGTTAATCCGCCACAACTCGATCGCTACTCGAATCTTGCAGTGAGCGACAGTGAGGTGTGCTTTATGAAGTCGTTGCAGGGTATCACCATATCCACATAACTATGGCCGTTAAAAAAGGACATCGCAGAACCGCTTGGTTTCTGTTGTGATTAACAGATCGTTTTTGCAACAGCTCTCCTCACCAACATCGACAACGGGATTCAGTTTCATCATCGCTTGATTCTCGATCAACGAATGAAGTTTTTGCATGATGACTCATTTATGATCGTGATTATGAAAAAAAAGAGAAACATTGCAAAGGCCGAGGATAAAGTGAGATTTTTTTGGACNCAGTGGGGTCGGAGAGGGACTCCCGGAACAAAGGGACTGCAGCCATTTGGTGTGGTTATTTGCAGTTACTAATCATGTAGATTTGCCTTCGTACGCTTCTCGAATAGTAGTCATCAAAAACAATTTTATCCTTGGACCACGTTCCCCCACATTTCGGGCTTATTGTACGAAGCGTACAGCTTTGCTGTATAAACCTTCTCTACATCATATTGGCTTACTTTTCCAATTTCTTTCCTCAAAACACTTATGGGTAATTCTGATTACTATAATTGAAGGGCACATCAATGGAGTGTACTGTATCAAATGAGGAATACATGACTCAGCAACGATACATTTCTTGAGTGCGGTTCGACACCAGCTCCCACTCTTTTGACTCTTGTAACTTTGTAATCAAGCTTTATCATTGCGAAGTAGTCTCCACGTTTGGGCTCTCATACTTGAGGGCCCGACCAGATGTACTGGACGAATCACATTACGCTCTTCGCTAAGATTCACCTCTCCTAGCGAAGATATGAATCACCTTGCAATGGATCTGTATTTTTTTGGTAGCTCTATGGGATGAAAGAAATGTGCCTCACATTACAGGCAATGATAAATTTTTCCATTAAATTTGAATAAATGATTGAACTAACTCAAGAGAAGGTCAAAAAGGATTCGGGCTACAGACCAGAGCTGCTAGGATTGTGTGGCAGTTGCGAAAGAGGGCGTTATGAAGAACTTTGAAAACCTATGTGAAATTTCAGTTTGAATTCATTTGAGCTCTTCGGATAGGTACTAGACTGCGTCCTTATTTCTAGTTTTGTGAAAGGTGTGGATCGCTGTCACGATCGAATTATAAAAGTATAAGTGATAAAAACTTGAACGGATTGTGTGGAGGAACTCGTTGTTATCACTTTCTAATGATCTTTTTGCCAGCTCTGCAGAGCTTACAAGTGTTTTATCGCCAAAAGAATCACGTGCTTAACGCAATATGCAATTTGGACTTAGAAAACTGATTTAACATAAATATATAGGATGGCAACCGCAAAACACTTGTAGGTGAACTATCGCACGATTCTATCCCTTCGAACTGAACCGGATGAGACAGGATTCTGAACACAATACAGGCAACGAGTGTTGTATTTCTCATGATGAGAAATCTAGTTCAATGCGAATTTTCAAGATAAATAGAAGGCTTGAATAGCGTACGTTCCGTTAGCTGGAATTCGTTGCGTAATTTACAGAAGCGCACCCTTGTCTTCAAAAAGTTACTAACCTTGAGCGAACTCCAAGAAACGAATGGCTGCTATAGGGTTCTTTACCAACCGGATTTGAATGTAGCAGCGGAGTCTTATCCTCTGTCGTACGTGTTGTAGTGAAGAGACTGAATTAAGGCTTCTGTTAGAATTTTTGAATGAAAGGATCATAGTTCTGCCACAATCTAAAAAAAAGGTTCCACCTTTGACTGAAGCATAGCAACTAAATAGAAAATCAACAAATTAAATGAATGCCTCCATCTTTATAGCTAATTGACTACTGGATTAAGTGTTAGTCAACGGAGTCCAATACTCCAAATGGGATTTAAGTCTGACGATGATTCCAGGATGAACACAGGAACCAGGAAGCCACAGTAACCCGTTCAACTCGGCATTGGCAGTAAGTGCTGATTTCTTGTCTGCTCCCAGAACCTCAAAAAAGAAAACCCCTCTTTCAACCAGAGCCATATCAGCCCTATAGATATCCTCCTCAGATCGACTGTCTAACAATCCGACCTTTTTTCTTCTTTTCGGAGTTTTTTGCCGTCACTTCATCACCACTGGAATAAACAAAAGGCTTACATATCAGCCAAAATTAATTTCTAAACTGTTAGTATACTCTTTACACTTAGGGAAGCTCCTACTTCACACCTTTAACCTTTGACATAAGGCTGCAAAAAGCTTCAGAGTGCAAAATTGAAGCAGCCCAAGGTGGCCAACGGTGATATGGCCTGAACCGACTTGGATGAGCAGTTTGAGAAAATAGATTTTCTCATTGTTGCGAGCTTTTACCCATGTATTTCCCTAACTCCTCATCATGGACTATTAGTACTTTGAAACTCAACACTCAAGGGGAAGGCTTGAAATACCATAATTTACCGAGCGTATGCTCATTCAGAGTTTGATCCACAGATATCATTTTTCTGTTTGTCGTCTACCCCTGCTTGGTGAGAGATTGTTTGTGCAATATCATTTGTGCAGAGGTACAAGCCAGTCAAACCAACAACAACACTGTGACAATGTATTGAACGCTAAAAAAGATTGCAAAGTTTCTGCGATGAAATCATCTTTCATGAAAATATTGGCATCTACGAGCCCGGGTCTAGGACCTATGATGATTGTATAATTGTTATCGTTGAATTCATATATACCGGAACACTAATGAACCCTTAGGTCTCAATAGCACATAAACTGTCATTCGAGTGCAATGAAATGAGATGACTTTGCTGATAAGAGCAGAGGTTTGGATTGCTGAGCAAAAGTTTTTCAATCGTGAACAAAGAAAATCAATTACGAAGCAAAGTGGCAGAACGAATGGCTAGGACAATAATGCTCACTTTGACTCGCTGTAGGAGGTTATATAACGCTGAGTGACGACGATTCCGGCGATAAACGTCGCCGCAACTATGAAGGCTATGCGAGCGACGAATCGCATCGGGCAGATGGCTGTTGGTTTGGTCGCTCCACGACCCGCCTACGGTCCTGCCCGCCCGTGACGGGGGGCTCGTTGGCGAGTGCTGTGCGCTTTTGTCAATGTTATCAGTGCCCTTCCATCAGCACTGCGTAGGAGCCGGAATAATGATCGAGAATCCGAATGGCATCAGCCCGCGCAGTCGCTGTAGGCAATATCCATTGGATTCCCCTTGGAATGACAACGCCCACTTCACCACTTTTATCTCAGAGCGGAGTTCAACGCGATGTACTTTTGACAGGATAAAGATTGTACCGCTTATTATACATTTGGGCTTGGCAAAACTCATCTTTAACCTCCACCATGAATAGTCTCTACGATTTCTCTTATAAGGGTACCGGTACTGGTGATATGTTTTGTGGATTTATTGAAATATATTTGTTAATACAACTGCACAATGGATTGAAAATAACCTTGAATGGCTAAGGCATCAACAAATCCGCTCTCTTTGGAGGCACAGTTCGCGATAATTTCGAGTACACTTTTCAGGTTGAAAAGCGGAAGCGTTGATGTAGAGGAATAAATCGGTGGCCAAGAAAGCGGAAAAATTCGCCTACTTCAAGCTTTTCAGAAGTTGTGGAAGTGGAGCTTCTACGAGACCACCGCGACAGGATTGGCATGTAAGAGGTTTTTGGACGAGATTTAACTTGCTCCCAGAATACAAAGAGCTGACTACATCAAACCATAACTGTTCAGAATTGCCTTTTACTGTCGCTAAGGGTCATGCAAAGTTTAAAGTTTTTACATTAGTTCTCTCATGAATGGTGCAGCCACTACAAAGTGTTGAAACACGTCAACCAGTTGTGTGGCAATCACACGATACAAACTCTGGTTCCTCATTGTGCCCTATCCAAGGCGTTTTTGAACTCATAACGACAGGTATTGTACAGGGTGTCCCAAAATTATTTGCGCCGATTTATAGCAATATATGTGAAACTTCTCAACTGCGAAAGACGATGTAATTTCTATGAACGCTAGCTAACACTATGTGCTACAACTTGCTAAAGTCGCATTTCAAAATATCCCCCGTGAGCGCGAATAGAAGTCAAAGTTTGCTTTCGACTTGATCGCATGTGGCACGCAGGTATCCTTCTTCATTTCTTCCTAGCCGTCCTCCAGCTTTTGCATTCTAGGACTCCAAACTGGAACTGCAAACTCGACAGGTCTTCTTCCAATCAGGGACCATTCGTGGGATTCAAGTCGGTCAAGTTCTGGAAAATAGTATGACCATTCTTCTACAATTATGAAGTCGGACAGCTGTCGTCGGCACCACTCGCGGGCAAGCTTGGCTCTGTGAGCTGGAGTAGCGTCCTGCTGGAAGGACTATGAGATGTTTCAGAAAACGTAGTCGGATCAATGTTTTATTCACTTCCATTAGTACGCCGTTTGAGTACTGGTCTTGGTCAACTTTCACGCCTGCATCGAAGAAACCACGAGCGGCTTACCCTTGCCAGTGATTTCCTCGAAAAACATCATTTTACTGTTCTGATAGCAACCTTTTTGTGAGATATTACACGCTGGATGTTTCTTCCCGGAACGCGAACGTTTTGGTTGTTGAGGGATGGTTTTATCGTAAAAGATTTTTTGATCATAGAAAACGACGAAGAGTTGCGTGTCATCACTCAATTGGGTCTGCGACTTTCTGCATTTTTTGGCCCTGCAGAATCTATTGAGATCGG